AACTCCTGACCTCAAGTCATCTGCCTACCTTGGCTTCCTGAAGTGCTGGGATTACAGGTGTGAGCCACTGCACCCAGCCCTCTCTTCTCTTTATTACAGCAGTAAGAAACCTCACCTTTGGGCTGGGCACGGTCAGGAGGTCCTGATCATGAGATCAGGGGTTCGAGGCCAGCCTGACCAACATGGTGAAACCCCGTCTCTACTAAAAATACAAAAAAAATTTAGCCGGGCATGGTGGTGTGCATCTGTAATCCCAGCTACTCAGGAGGCTGAGGCAGGAGGATCGCTTGAACCCGGGAGGTAGAGGTTGCAGTGAGCTGAGATTGCACCACTGTACTCCAGCCTGGGCAACAGAGGGAGACTCCATCTCAAAAAAAGAAAAAAAAAGGCCTCACCTTCAAAGATGGTTCCCTTTGTCAACACCAGGGAGTAGGCTCCAGCCTGGGTTGCTGAGAGGACATGGGAGGATTCCTGGGACTTCTTCAGCTGTTACTTGGTTCCCAGGGAGAAAAAAATGAGGACAGAAGTGAGCAGAATCCCTTGAGACTAGAACCAGGAAGCTAAGGGTGTGAGACAGTGGGGGTTGGGAGCTGTGCTGCTGGAAACTGCAGGGCCTGTAGGATTCCTGTCATGAACAATTCTGCAAAAACCACACTTAAGTTACCCCCTATCTTCCTTCTCTTTAGAAAGTAATTTCCTCCTCTCTCCACCTTTTAGGAACCCCGCCTATAGACCATCTTCTCCAGGAAACCTAGCAGTGCTGCAGGAGGAAGGATCTCTTCACTTCTGGTCTCAAGGCACTTCAGGCTGGAACCACCATGAAGGCCGAAATTCTATCCAGTTACCCTGGAAGTGGGAAACCAACAACCTGCATGGCATTTTCTGAAGCTAGACATGTAAACATCATTTAAAAGTTGTTTTCTTGACTAACGCCTGTAATCCCAGCACTTTGGGAGGCCAAGGTGGGCAGATCATGAGGTCAGAAGATCGAGACCATCCTGGCTAACACAGTGAAACCCTGTCTCTACTAAAAATACAAAAAATTAGCCGGGCATGGTGGCAGACACCTGTAGTCCCAGCTACTCGGGAGGCTGAGGCAGGAGAATGGCGTGAACCTGGGAGGCAGAGCTTGCAGTGAGCCGAGATTGTGCCACTGCACTCCAGCCTGGGCGACAGAGTGAGACTCCATCTCGAAAAAATAAATAAATAAATAAAAAG